ATACTCTTGCAATGCTACTCAGAGATTACCTTACAGAGCTCTATAGAGAGAGCTCACGTATTCGCAAAGTTTGACAAAATTGCCTCAATTATCCATCAGGCAATATAGACACAGAAATAAAAAATGCTAAGAGAAATGGTGGATGTTACATATATGGAGGAACTTAAAAAGATGAAATTTGGTTTTACAGAAACACGCATGGCCTTGTCTTTCTCCGCTTCTTCTTGGGTTTCGGAGGTTGCAAAACCACCTTGATTGCGGCATCAAACACAGTCTTCACATTCTGTATCATCACAGCAAACACATAACATCAAAACTGTTGAACTTGACTAATGTTCTTATTAATTAGTTTACTATGACTCAGTTAAAGGGAAATTGACTTCTAACTAATTTTAAGGCTCAATTGTTGCAGATAATGACAAAAGAAGATTGAACAATCATTTATGCTGAAGCTTAACTTTGTCTACTTTTTCCGCAATTAAATGGGATCATGTCGTTTAAAATAACTTTATCACTATCAAAACTGTTCTGAGATGGTAAAATTTTCTTTCGGTTTTGTATCATTGTGCTTTTAGAAGCATAAGCGCCTAAAGCATTCCGCTACTGAATAAAACCCAACTTCTTCCATCAGACATTCATCTGAAACTGGAAGAAAGAAATTAAAAAGTTGGTAGTTTAACGTGGGCTGAAAGTTTGAAACAAGAGGCATATTATTTAGCTTGAAATGTTCCTATAGAAATATTTAGTTAGTAAAATTCTGCATAAAAAATTTATTTTTATTACAAACTTCAGAAAAATAACCAAATTACCTGCTGAGTCTTGGAGCTGCACTCTAAGTAAGCCGCAGCACCGATCATCTTCTTCAGTTCTTCCCCCTGATCCGAATTGAAAATAAGAAAATTGTCCATCATGACATTGTCGAATGCTAATTTTAACTCTGTTAGAAATAGTATGCCTTAGTTTGCAAATATATTTTATCTCTAAGAAATATACCTGTGCTGTTGAGATTGGAGTAGTGCCAGGATGATCAATCAAGTACTGCTTGTCATCTCGTAAATCTGTATCAAATTAAATCAACAGCTCTAATATTAGAACCTCAGAGTGATGAAAACTTACTGTCTGAGATACTCATAATTTGTTTCCTTCACACAAGTAGAACTGATGTTTACCCATTTTTGTTCCTACAAGAATGATAGGCACAGTCGGAGCATAATGCCTCAGCTCAGGGATCCACTGTGTGCCAAGAAATTGTTATCTGTCAGATTGCAACAATTTGAAAATAGAAATCAAAAGCAAAAAATAAATAAATAAAAGAGTTGTAACCTTTTTTGAAATATTTTCATAGCTAGCTTTGCTGACGAGAGAAAAGGCCAACAAGAACACATCTGCACCCCTGTAACTCAAAGGCCTAAGCCTGTTGTAATCCTCCTGCCCTGTGTACACCAATCTATTCTGTAAGTAATTGAACTGTTTATACTTTTATATGATACTTCTTCAGCAGAAATTTTTAGCCATCTAATTTAAAGGCATAATACTGAAGCAAGGTAGCTCAATCCTCACCAGCAGTATCCCATAGTCCAAGGTTAACTGTGCTGCCATCCACCACCACATTAGCACTAAAGTTGTCGAACACCGTGGGCACGTAGTCCTATCAGAAGAGAAAATGAAGAAAACAAACTCAAATTAAGCGGCAAGTTTATGCAGATAAGTAGAGGACGCCAATTAAATATGTGATATTACGTTCATACCGTTGGGAAGGTATTGCTAGTGTAGGAGATTAGCATGCAAGTCTTGCCAACAGCTCCATCGCCGACAGTGACACACTTGATGAATCTAGCCGTGCTCATTTTTTTCGATAATTAAAACTGTTCTCTGTTCTTGATGATCAACCCCTTTTCTTCTCTTCCATTAACGCTAGACTAGTCTCGAGCTTTGTCACTTTTTACTTTGAAGCAAATCTTGAATGTACAAGATAGTTAGAGGAAGCTGGGAAAGAGTTTGAAATTTGAATAGGAAAAGAGGGGAGGTGAAGATGGCGTTTAATAAGGGTGAAGACTACTAAATTAAAGCACCCAACTTTAGCTTTACTATGATTGCCAAATAGCTTTTCTGTTTCTTTAAGGGGAAGGACAGTCACAGAATCTAAAGACCAACGAGATATATGTTTGGTGGTAGTGTTAGTTGGTTAAGTGTTAGACAAGGGAGACACTCAATCATGAATACTTAGAAAACTGAACATTGCTTATTTATCCATAAATAATCTTATATCATGAATCCAAGAAAATTAATACCCAAACGGTTATTTGCACGTTATACTCATTAGTTTACGCATGATCGTCTCAAGAACATTTATGACTCTAGGCAAAAGTTATTTTGGGGGTATTCTAATAATATAAACATATATTAAAAAAATTATTTTAAATTTTTTTTTTTTTGTCTTTTGAAATACAAAATCATTGAGAGAGGTGGACGACGACCGACAGGCTAACGGGGTCAGGTTGGTGGGAGGTTTTAGAGAGCAGATATTGGAGAAGTGATAAGTGGTGAAATGGGTGATTTCTAATGTCAGGATTGACTGGAAAAGACTTGAGAAGTGGCATCCCAAAAGGTATCGGCGGCCGACGATTGGTGGAGTAAACATATGAGGTATAATAGGGGTTTTGGTGAGAAGGCTGAGGGAAGGAAGATGGTGTTGTTAGGGAAGGCCAACGATGATAGGTACATGCCAAAAAGGTCGAAAATGGTTGTTGCACACAGTGGAGCTAAGTTGCGAGATTCGTAAAAAATTGGCTAAATCGAAGGCTATCAAAACTGAAAAAACACTTGGAAAATGATAAAGTAATGATTCCAATCGATTTTGGTGAGAAAATCGACCGGAATCAGCTCCAAACGGCTGGCTGCAGAAGAGGGGTGGAGATGATTTATGTGAATGTCGAATTTTGGGATTGACTTGGGGGTGTATAATTTGAGACATATAAATGACCATTTTAACCTTTTATTGTTAAAAGAAATTCAATGTGTTAATTTAGGGGTGTAAATTAGAATATATGAAACTAGAGATATAAACTTGCTATTTCGTCAAACTTTGGGTGAAAATATATGTAAAAAATTTATAATAAATTTAATTTTTTTTTTTTTTTTTTTTAGAGCCCCTTGGATAGGTCTAGATAATAAATTATACATTATTTTTATTTTTGTAATATATTAAAAAAAAAATTATAAAAAATTTGGTCCTTTTTTGCCCTATTTTTTGGGGGCCCTTGGCACCTACCCTTGAGCCGGCCCTAAGTTTACCATTGAGACATTGAAATTTCCATGCTACCCAGCCCAGATGATTACAATTTACACAAAGGGATTGTAGATTTCAGAAATTAAACTCCAGTTGCATTGAAAGAGTATCAGTTTTGGGTCAAGATATCATGTCAAGCGACTGATTAACTTTATTTGGGAGCCACGCCATGATTAAGGGAGAAATAAAGTGGGAGTGCAAAGTGGGGTGGTATATTTAACTTTTGGTAAAGAAATAGTTGTCGGTTACCAGGATGAAATTGTGAGATGAGGATCAGCTCTGTTTGGCGATTGGAATATATTGGGGGGTGTTTGTTTGTTTTTTATTTTTATTTTTTTGCGTGATTGAAAGGTGTATAAGTCAATTTGTGTGTCTTTTAACTTATTCTCAAGAACCCTAAAATGAAGAGTTGGATAAATCATCTCATGCCTACTCCTGTTGGTATTTGAAATGATTCAAACTCTTAAACTCAGTTTTATACCCTTTTTAAATCATGTGTTTTGTTAATGTAGCTTATCAACCAGCCGCAGAAGACATATGTCTAACTGTTCAACTAACAGGAAGCAAAGATCTTTCATACAGATTTGATGTGAAAGATAAATGGATCTTTCGATATGGCTCT